CAACCAATGATAATAAAATATTTAGATAACATGTTTAATTTGAAAGAGTTTCACTGTAGATAAATTAGTTGTAGGCTGTTGAGATTATTTCAAAAAATATTATGTTTGCATACATATATATAAATGTATTGCGTAAGTAATATACTAAAGGTTTGTACAAATAAATTTTATATACTTTCATATCACGTTACACTAGAAAATTTTGTTTACTTTAGACATTTGATACATAGTAAACATTATATGTAAATTATATGCAATATAATATTATGTCAAATTATTCAAGTTCTTTCAGTCCATCATATAAATAGACCACTTATAAGGTTCATTAGTTTTCTACATTTCACAGCAATAGTTCTACTTACGAAATCAGCATATGTGGGAAGATTCTTCGTGTACTGTTATTGGCTCTAATGCCACACGCCATACTGAGTGCTGAACAACTCGAGGTGGAGCAGTCTATGAGTGGAAACAAATGGTATTTGGCTTCGCCACGAAGAGATCGTCAAGACGCAATAGACAATGGCAATTTATCACCAGAAAAGCAACACCCATCGATGTGGCGGTCCATCAGGACTGTAAGTAATGTGTCAACTTAAGTAGCAATAACAAATCACACCAATTTCCACACACTTCACAGGCGAAAGGGATCACGTGTCTTTACACAAGTACCCAGATTCACAACGGGCATTCCGTACACTTTGGCGGTGGTGACTGAGCCAATGAGGCGAATGGACCAGTCCTGCAGCCATATCCCGATTACAGTTGCACAATTCAAATGGTAGTGATTGTGATAAATTACTTCTGTATTCGTGTGGCAGTAAGTTTAAGTTCATGTGTATGTGTTAATATTTTCACTTCTTTCTACCACCTTGTAGATCACGGAGTGCAATCAGCTGTTCGTACTTGATTCGGGCGTTATCGCTCAGGTTCAACGTTGTTCTCCGCAGCTACTTGTCTTCGATTTAAACAGCGATACCTTGTCCTATCTGTTATCGTTTCGATCCAAGCACGTACACAGACGCCGCTTCACTCTTCATCACGCCAAAAGTTTCTGTGAACGATCCTCCACCAACAGGTAGCTGTAGCAAAGTACAAGTCTACATGGTACGTAAGATGTCTGATTTCCAAGCTTTTCGCTCACATAATTAATTGCTCTTAACTCGTGTCCTTATTATTTTCTTGGTTTTTGTTTTATGCTAATAAATCACTCAGACTGATGTCGCGTTGCATGGTTTGGTTGTATATGACTCGGAGTTAAATACAGCTTGGCGTATCAGAATAGATTCATGTATCCCAATCCCGAAAATGGTGTACACTCACTTGCCGGTGAGTATTCACTCTAATGGATGGCATATTTGGTTTGGCCAGTGATGACGAACAGCTCTACTTCATCCATTGGCTTCTGTCCACGAGTATGCAGTGCCGTTGAGCGTCGTAAGCAATCGTACCATTTTGAGAACATTTCAGGTGCCATGCGCTGGCTTTCCGTCAGGTGGCCACACGTAGCAGTTCATGTGCGCGAGGCGATTGATAGTCAAAACATATCTACTGTGTTACATTCAATCCAGTCATGTTGACTCGCTGGAATCCGAATAAACCGTATAATGTTCAAATGCCGGCAGATCCTCAACTGCTGGAGTTTGTAAGCGGCATGAAGGTGACAAAACATACCGGCAATGAGGAGTTATGGATGATGTCTAATCGCTATCAGGTAAGCAATTGCTTCTAAAACGTGGCTTAATTTGTACAGTTTTTACTGTAAATGTTTGCAAATTGCAGAAAGTCGCAAATGGCAATTTGGATTTTAATGAAGTTAATTTCGCATTGTGCGTCGATCACTTGATGACGTACAGAACGCGACAAATTAAGATCTGACTCAACGACCGATCTTCAAATGATTTTGCAATAGCTTAAGTGTAATTGTATTTTGACTACAATATATTCTGTTATTCGATACTAATAAAATGAAACAAAACGAACATATATTACATACTGGGTTGAAAATCATTTGGCATAAAATTAAAAGATAGATTGATTCATTGTAATAAGCTCTGTCTAGAATGATTCATGTAGAGTGAAGATGAGTGTGTAACGGTTTTCCAACATTTCGATATTGGTTCTGCGGTGGTACGCTTCGGGGCCTTCAAAATTTGTTTTGTTTTCATCTGGACCACGTCATTGCAGTGAAATTTTTCCAGT